AGCTATCGACTACTATGTAACATAGATAATACGTCAAATATAGAAATTTGCTGAAATGTATTTTTTTTGTTTCTGGTGAGTCATTTGTAATAATATCAACATTAATCATTGTTGACTAAAGATTCCATCACACACAAGAAAGTTTCAAAAATTATATTTCAATTCAACAAAAAGAAAAGTTCTGGGAAGAGACAAAAAATCTTTCAATTCATCTAGAATGCATACCAAGGCAGCATTCTATGTAAAATTTTATCAAATCAAAATAGAGAAATTTAAATGCAAATTTCAACTTTAAAATTTCTCTCTATTTCTGTTCCTAATTTACACTTTTTATCATTTTCTACAATAAAATAATAAACAATGAAAGCAATTAGTCCGACTCATTATAATAATAATAGTTAACGTCTTTTATTTATAATATTATTACAGGAGGCGAGATTTAGATAATATACCTATTCTTACCAACACGAGATGAAAAAAAAAACAGAATTTGTTTAAAATTAATAGCTGTATACAATAACGATAGAATAAAGTATAATCTAAGTAAAGACATAAGGAAAATATGAGCTTCGATTAATTTTCCATTCGATATCAGTCTGGCGTCTATGCGGAAAATACACGGTGGGCGAAACATTCATTGTGAAAATGGCTCCAAATTATGAATGTTTGCAAGACCTAGATTGGAAAACGGCTAAAGAAAAAATTTTGTTAATTTTGAACAATGTTAATCAGCTTGTCAACCTCTTGACCAAGGGATTATGAAAAGTTTTAAAACCTATTACCAAAGTCTACTTCTCGAACCTTGCTAGTAAACATTGAAACTACTGGTACAGCTTTCGAGTTGATAAATAAAATTACATCATCGGATGCAGTTCATTAGGCAAAAACTGCGCTTGGAACCAAGTAATCGAAGAAACAGTTCAAAATTTCTTCTGCAAAGCATGAGTATATGCAAAGTGAAAACCAGTTAAATGAGGCTGATACACCTCACCCAGAAGATGACTTACCACTTAATGTGCTTTCAGATATCCTCAAAATTGATTGATCATGAAAACCTTTACGATTTTTTGAACATCAATGAAAGTTTGAATGTTGAAGATCCAGATTCAGGCCAAGAAATTGAAAATCCATTTGAAATACAAAAACTTTCCAAAGATTCTGATGTCTATGAGGTTCTAGTATGAGCAGAAGCTATTCCAAATTATGGTAGAGCTATTACCCTGACCAGGCAGCTCAAAGTTTTGTCAAAAATCAGAGTCTTTGAAGCTTCTTTCTAAATTAGAAATGTGATTTCAATTCAATACATACAGTAATGGACAAAAGTATATAGACAAATATAAATATTTACCTAAATACCTTTAGAAAACGAATTCATACTTCATTGCTCCATAAACAAATGTGTTATTAGTAGAAAAACTAAATTCCTTATTTTTACATTATCTGCAATGAACACAATAGAAGTTTGGTGTAGACAAATTCTTTTCAATATTAGTTAAGTACAGTTTCGTGTCAGTAGAGGATTAGTTTGTATTCATCACGTATTGTGGAATGAGTTGAGCGATTTTAAGACTCTGCCGCGTGGTCCAGAAATTTCTTTCGATGTGAAAACTAAGATCATTGAGTTATACAAAGATGGTCAACATCAAAGTCAACATTGCCAAAAATTTGAAGCTGAAGCGTAAAGCAGTTTGGGCAATATTGAAGAAATATAAACAAAAAGGTATCTTGGAAGCCTCTAAGAGAAGTGGTCAGATTAGAAAACTAAATGCTAGATCAGTTAGATTAATAAAAGTAATTTCGTCCAAAACGAAATCGAGACAAAAGGAATTGTCAGTGTTTCTACGAAAACTATAAGTAGAAGATTAAATGATTTGAAGTCATTTGCACGTCACCCGAGTAAGAAGCCGCTAATCCCGAGGAAAAACCGTAAGGACCGATTACAATTTGCACGGTTGCATTTTGATTGGAGCATCTGTGACTGGAAGAGGGTATGTTTCAGTGACGAATCCAAGTTCAATATGTTTGTATACACAGACATACTAAAGCATGTCATGTAACCCTATACGGAAGACAATATGCCCTTAAGATCAATCTTCCAGCAAGATAATGACCTGAAGCACACTTCAAATCTTGCAAAGAAATTCTTTCTGGATGAAAAAATAGCAGTTCTCAAATGGCCTTCACAGTCTCCCAAACAAGGATGAACTTTTTGCCACTTTGGAGCAAAAATGGAGACAGATTGATGAATCTGATATCAAGAACCTTCTACAATCTATGCCGAGACGATGCCAGGTGGTGATTAATAATAATGGTAATGCTACAAAATATTAACACAAACATGGCTGGTTTTCTATAATTCTATGAACTTTGCTTCTTTTCTCTATAATTGTTTTGCTTTGCAATAAGGAATTTTGTATACAGGTTGGTGTATTAATAAAACAAGTTAAAAAAGAAATACAGCACAATATTAATTTGTCTATAATATACTTTTGTCCATTACTTTCTTCTGAGAAATAATTTATGGAGTTAAATGATTATTAGCAATGGGGATTGTTAAAATGCCAGTGGTTTAGTGTAATAATTTTTTATCCATATGTATTAATAGTATATTGCTTATTCGAATAATAAAATATCATCACATGTAAAAAGTAACTCAATATGAAGATGTAATTAAAACTTTATACACTTTATAGCATATATTTATGTTAACTTTAATGTTTCAGTGGTAGGAAAACACTGAAATCACTCCCAGAATGTTTTGAAAAAAAGGGTAATGTAGACTTTGGAGGTTCAGTTGCACTCAGTATCAAAGAACTTCTATCAACCTAAACCATTTCCAAAAACGTTGTTATATGACATTCCATTCTTGCTCTTTAGTCAAATACACCAACTTTTAGCATTAAGGTTTATGTTTTTTTTTTTATGTTTTGAAAAAACATGTGAAATTTGCAGAATTCAATGGCTACTAGACCAGTTCCCAAAACCTTGACAAAAATGAAGAAACCATATCTCATTTGTTTTTTACATTTTTGTATTGGAAAAATTATTGTGTGATTAATTCTAGTATAGGCACACAGAACTATTTCGGCGTTTCAGCGAAAAAAGAAGCGTTAATAAACTAACGTTGATGCCTCACAAAAGACAAAATTACGTGCTAATGGGATGCATGAGACTTGTTTACAGAAACCTAACCTATACGCTGTCTCGCTCGACCAAAGTGTTAATAAGTTGAAGGGCAAATTGTTTAACACCTCCGCAGTTCTCGCCTGTACAACTGCACGAATAATCGCTAAAGAGAAAACGAATGAATGATGAAAGAATACTTACATTCTTTTCAGATATAATCCAGATCCATTCTGAGAGTATTCTTTGATTTCTCACCTTTCGTGGACCATGATTCGGGAGCGATGAGCAAGGTTAACCGAACAAAAATCTCACGCAAATCGAAAATTTTTCAAAACGCCGGTATATCAGTTTATTTGGCTGCTGTCACATCACACGGTTCCGCGCCGACCTACCTGTGATTGATATTCAAGAAATTATTTCCGACTGTTTACATGTCACCGCTACAGTAACAAATGAGTTTCTGTCTAGACAACAAGACGTATGTCAATATTCGTCAAAATCAAAATGGCTACGCCTTTAATCGTCAAGCAGCGACATCCATCTCTATGACGCGCTCGTACCGTCTCAGGGGTCGCACGCAGTCGTGTTCTTCGGACGTATGTCGATGATGAATCTTGCTTGAACACGCCCAATGCTTAAATAAGGGAATGTTAATTCGAATTTTAGCGGGATTCAGCCCACAAAAAAGGCTTCATTTATCGAAACACCATGAAAATACCATAATTTTATAAAGTTTCAAAGCCGGCTTATCGTTTGTTCCTGCAAATATTATCAGAGAAAAAATATAAAAGGAGCATGCGCCCCTATCATTTTTCGTTTTTTTTCCTTCCAAGTTATCGATGACTCTGCGACGGATTAAATATAGTTCAAGCACATCTGCTAGATGATATGCCTTGATCTTTTAAATATCTTTCAGATAGTAGTAGACTGAAATTAATTAGATTCAGTCAAAATTTTCCCTAGGGAAGCTCCGCCTACTACCCCCTTTCAATTTATTTCAGATATGTTGATCACTCCGCCATCTATCAGGCCTCGTTCTAACCAAAGCTGATGCGAAAGTTTGTCGGTGAAAAATTCTATAGCGCTGCTCTTTACCGCACTTGCGCAGTTAATATTATATCCGGGAGATGGCGCAAAGCAAGGAAGAAAATTCAGTCAAGTAGATTGACTACTCCTGCGTCTCCCTGCCATAGACCATCTTCATATGACGTCACTGCCCAACCTGCTATCGGTTGGAGGACAAACACATTAAATCATTGGTGTATACTAGAGTCGAAAATATGTTGTTACAGTTATTTAATAAATTTAGTTATTTCTGGAGAACTATTTTTTTGTGCGGGCGTGAATTACTTATTTAATGATTCAATACTTCACTACATAAGGGCGGATTTAGGAATTGAAGAGCGGGAGGGAAGGGAGGGTGTTGGCGGCTGTATGCTTAACCACTTGCACAGCTCTTCTGATAGCAAATGCGTTTGTGACAATATTAGAGAGCAGTGGAAGGGATACGCGTAGAAAGGATGGATAACAATTTCCAATAGATTCCCGACTATTTACACCATGCAAGAATTTAATAAGACGTGTTACAAGTATTTCAAAGTAGGATATTTCTAAGAATATCTCGCGATCTGAGTGATCTGTAGAGGTATACGACGTACATGTTACAATATGAACAAAACGGGATTTACGAAAATCAGGGGCGGATCTAGGGTGGTCTCATGAAGGTCCCAACACTTTCCCTAAAATATCCAAATTGAACACGTATTTCAATTCGCGCAATGTCTCTCAGCGCATTGTCTAGATACGCCCCTGACGAAAATGCTCTGAAAAATATCATTTTCTAGCCCACTTCCGAAATAAAGTAAAGATTGATAGCCCAACTTGCATCTTGTATATATTTTAAGATCAATCTCAAAAACATAAAAAAACTAATAACAGTAGATAGCACATGAAGGAACATCAAAGGTCATTTTTCCTCTTCTTTATCCAGAGTTACTAGTTCTTAAGTTACGCTGTACATTATTCATGGTTGGATGTTCTGTTATTTCTGTCATCATAAACTATAACCATCTTTTTATTATTTTGTTCTTTGGTAATACAGACACAGATATATATATTATATATATATATATATATATATATATATATATATATATATATATAACTACGAATCGATTTCCACTTTCAACTGTTTTCGCGTTATTTTATCATTTGATGTCTCGCTGTTGTTAGAAGACAGGAATAGTAGACAAGGTAACCTGTAAAAAGAATACATTTGGTTATGTAAGAAGTTGGAAGATGGAAAAGTAAAACAGGTGGTCGAAGTATGACGTACAAAAATTAATAAAAAAGATCTCTCATATAGTTCAAAGTACTATTAGATTGAATGTCAGCTTCACTTTAACCTCCAGAGGGCAATTGGTACTTATATAATATGAAGAATATCGCCCTAAATAGTGACATTAAAAAAACTGGACCTAGAAGATTGATGAAAGATGAGCGTGTCTATTAAAATAAGAACACAGTAAGATCCCATATAGTGCAGCAAAAGAAAAAAGAGCCAGTCCGTATATTATGAGCAGCTGTTCCCGTAGACCGTTCACAGACCATCGAACGTGGAGGTACCACCCGACGGATCTCTAAAGCGGGGCCAGAATGTGTGTATGCATCACGCACACCTGTTATCTTGGTATCTATAGGGAATTAAAGCTTTCAGCCTGGTTTAAGCCTAAAAAACACTTTACGAGTTCTCTACCATGTTCTAACAATTCTATTTTTTTTTTCAGTTAATTGTCTACTGGTTCTCAGACCATAGATAGATGTTTGGACCGTGAATTATAATCAAAACCAATCGTATTATATTGCTCAGCAACTTCGAACTGCAACGCATAACGTCTCGGAAAGTTTGCTTCTTACGTATTATTGTATTGCAACGAAAACACCGTTTTAACTATTTAAAGTCCAACTTATTACTCTTACACTGATTCATAACAACACTCGTGACTAATTCATGACAAAATAACCATGTCAAATGGATTACAGCATCTTGACTCATCGGTCGCTGTACTGCTTTCTCCATCTGTTCGGGTATTTCTCTTCAATCGATGCATTCCAGAAGCGCGATCCGTGTCTTCTCGATCGAAGTCGACCCTTCGTGGAGGCCGTCTAGATGGCCTTGAAGCGTCGTGAATGCGAACGTGCTCCATACACGGTCGCGTAGTATTGGTTGCCTAAGCCACGACATTGCGACGGGGCTGATCGATACCACAAAGTTTAGCTTACGAGGGCGCTACATTATGTTTTCGAGAGCAGCAATAAAAGAAACAGAATGCTCTCCGGAGCGTAAAAAACTACGCCAAAATTACCCCTTGACGTTCAATCATCTATTATGTGCTGCAACTGCAGCAAATATGTTTAACACGGTAGATTAGAGATTTTAGTTTCATAGTATATAGCAAATACACATCAAAACGACGAATGTCCCTTTCTCAACAACCTAATCAGCAATCGTATGATATGACGAATTGATTCCTTTATGTATCGCATTTATCATATAACTTGATTTAGAAGACTATGCTGATTTCATTACCTTTTTATTATACCATGACGAAACACTTCCGAATTTTCGGCAACATTTTTAGATATACCTTTTCAAAGTGAGCCATGAAGTGACTAGAAATTATCTAGTATCTAGTAGATTACATAGATGAATAGTGTTTCCATGTTAAGATAACACGTTTGAAAAATTATGTGTGATTCACATGAGTTTGACAATTATTATTAAGTACCATTATAAACAACGATATAAAAATTTTATTACGATACAGATCATAAATATCAGCATCAACGTAAACGTTTTGCGAAATGCAATGATGTCTGAATTTCCTAGAAACTTCAGTTTTTTTTTTTTGAATAAGTGACAATACTGACAACGTCGGGTTAGGAAGTTGTTCAAACAACGGAATTTTCGCAATTTTTCGAATCTCGTTAGAAATGTCGACATTTCTACTGTTTGGGATGAGAAATCATGAACTCCTTTTACATCATACCTAGATATTTAACTTGCGAAATGATTCAGTCAGATCTAGATCCACACATAAGTTAGTAGATAGTAGAATAGTAGAAGAAATGAAAAAGAAAGAAATAAGTTAACTGGTTCAAAAATCAGTTCGAAGATTTGTCTCGCATGTACATACTAACACACTAAACAATAGGTCAAGTTACAAGGTCTATCGCAAAGTAAACAAGACTTTTGAAAAATATCCGATACAAGTAGCGCCATCTATTATCGGACCAAGTGTTGGATAGGTACATCATTCATTAATAGCACTGATCAACAGCCAAAAATATAATAAATAAAATCAACAAAATATTACTATTTTCAATGTGCTAAAACCGGTATGAAACTTATTTTTTCAATATTAGTTCAAGTTTTAGAGATACGGTAATTATATGTGTTCCTGCTGTGACAGTATTAATATACTGTAATTCACAAGAATGCACGTGCTACATTTTATATTCGGCAAGGAAAGATGATGTAATCGGCATGATTGTGTTACGTTATGCATACGTGTACATTATATTGTTTTATATTAGCCATTCTTTCCTCAGTTGGCTGACAGCGTTCATGCAAGATGTCTCGAAAGTGTGTAAACAATCCAGATCAGTTTTGTTACGTGTGTGGTGAGTCTATTACTCCACTAATAACAAAGGCATATCAGCTTTATTTCGGTTGTAAACTAGGTGATCAAGACAAACAGTGGGCACCCCACATCTGCTGTAATACATGTGCTTCAAGTCTGAGGAGCTGGTTAAATGGCAAAAAACGGACTTATGCGCTTTGCTGTCCCAATGGTTTGGACAAGCCTACAAATCATATTAATGATTGTTACTTTTGCATGGTACCTTGTGTTGGACAAGCCACAGGTATGTCCAAGAAAAAAAATCAGTTATTAACTACCCAAACATACCATCTGCGATGAGACCTGTGCCTCACAGTGACGAAAATCCTATTCCAAAACCCCAGAATCCTACACTTGCGAATCAGAAAACGAATCAGATCATGGCTATCGAGTGATTCGTCAGGAAGAAGATATGCCATCAACGTCAAGAGATCCTAATTTTATACCGAGCACGTCATGCCACCAACCGCACTAATTAACACAGTCAGAATTAAATGATCTTGTAAGAGATTTAGAACTTCCAAAATGTAAGGCAGAGTTACTTGGATCAAGACGGCAGCAGTGGAACTTGTTAGAAGACGATGCTTCGGTATGTGTTTTTCGTAAACGCCACAAAGACTTAGAACCATTTTTCAATATGGAGAATAACTTGGTTTTCTGCAGTAACATTAACGGCTTACTGGCGGCTTTAAATATAAACTATAACCCAGAAGAATGGAGATTGTTTATAGACAGTTCAACATTGAGTTTAAAGGCAGTGTTATTGCATATTGGAAATATTTTACCATCTCTTCTTGTAGGGTATGCAGTTCACATGAAAGAATCATATGACAATATGAAGTACCTATTGACATGCATAAAATACGATGAGCACCAATGGCATATTTGTGGCGATTTGAAAGTTGTTGCACTTTTACTTGGGCTGCAGCTAGGCTACACAAAGTTTTGCTGTTTTTTGTGTGAATGGGACAGTCGGGCAAAGGCACTTCATTACACCAGACAAAACTGGCCTGTTCGTCAATTCCTAGAGCCAGGTCAAAAAAATGTACAGCATATGCCATTAGTAGATTCGAAAAAAATTTTATTACCACCACTGCATATCAAGTTGGGCCTAATGAAAAACTTTGTCAAGGCATTAGATAGAGATGGGTCAGCTTTTCAAAACCTGCGTCAGAAATGTCCAAGACTAAGTGAGGCAAAGGTTAAAGAAGGTATTTTTGTTGGGCCACAGATTTGAAATATTTTGAAAGATACACAGTTTGAAAACACTTTAACAGATACTGAAAAAACTGCTTGGAATGATTTCCGTCTGGTGGTCACTAATTTCTTGGGAAATAGAAAAGCTGACAACTATAAAACCCTTGTCAAAAATATGCTGTCATCGTATCAAAAGATGGGCTGTAATATGTCTCTTAAGATACATTTCCTACTCCACTCACACCTGTACTTTTTTCCTGACAATTGCGGAGCCGTAAGTGATGAGCACGGCGAACGTTTTCATCGGGATATTTCAACAATGGAAAAAAGGTACCAGGGAAAGTGGAATCCTTCCATGCTTGCAGACTACTGTTGGACTCTTGGTAGAGATGCTCCAGAAACGATCCATAAAAGAACAGCAAAAAGACAGCGCATATAGTGATTCTTATAAGTATATGAATCTTGTTACTTTTTTTAATATATCCTTATAATAATATAAAATAAAAAGTTTTTTTTCTAAACCGCAACTAATTTTTTTATTTCATTGTCATTTTTGGATTCAGCGCCCCAAAATTAACAAAGAAGTGCACTTTTCCCACAAGATACAATTAAAAAACTAAAATTTGTTGTCCAGTGTAGCCTGTAAAAATGTGACAATCGAACCTCACGCGGAGTTATCGCGCTTAAGGTGACAAGAGTCAATATTAAGTTCTGTGTTAAACTTGGTAAAACTTTAACCGAATTGTCGTGCGATGTTTGTCTATCTCGTGGTCAAGTCGACGAGTGGCGTACGCGGTTCAAAGACGGTCGAGAGTCGCGGAAAGACGACGAACATCTGGCCAGCCAACATTCGTGATTATGCCGATGATTAAAATAGATGCGATTTTCCGAAACAAAAAATGTTTGTTATTTTTTTCTTTGTCCTGTTTATTTTGCGACAGATCTTGTCAATAAAAACATGTAATAAAAATACATACTGGTGACCGGCAGAGAAAGGAAGATGGCGCCCAGTCCTGAGGGTAAACCGTTCCACAGCACCAATTCGTTGAAAAAGTATTGAAACACAAATTGAACAGCAACGAATTCATAAACATATAGTATCAGTCCTATGGTCAATAGATCTGAACGTCCCTGAAAAGACACATTTTTTTAGTCCATGGTCTGGGTATGTATACTAAGTGACATATAAATCAGAACACCCAGTTTAAATGGTTTTCTTTCAATAAAATTTTGTATAAGTACTTAATGAAGCATAATAAGTAAATGATAAAAATTTCAAAATGATTGCACTGCTTTAAAGCCCTTTGACCTTTAATAATGTGTGGATGCACCCTGATGTGCTACGCATTCTCCAACGCGTCTAGGCATGCTTCTGATCAGGTGGTCAATGTCCTCCTGTGGTATCTCATTCCAGGCAACCACCAATTCCTCTCGAAGTGCTTCTAGAGTCTGAGGAGGACGTTGCAAATTGAGCAATCTCCTACCCATCATATCCCACACGTGCTTAATTGGGGATAAGTCGGGAGATGTTGGTGGACATGGTAACAATGTGACATCATTATGTTGAAAGAAGTCTATTGTGACTCTTGCAACATGTGGTCGGGCATTATCTTGTTGGAAAGTTGGATCTTCCAGGGTGTCAAGATAGGGTAAAAGATGGGGTTCTAGAACTTCGTGGATATAACGCTGCGCGTTCATGTTACCTCTGATGAAGATTAGAGGTGACCTGGAACCATAAGCTATAGCACCCCAAACCATAACTCCAACAGTGTGATGAACATGTCTTTCAACAAAAAACTGTGGATTCCTCCTTTCACCACGTCGCCTTCTCACTTCTAACCCTGGCACGACCATCGTGCATGCCTAAACAAAATCGAGACTCGTCACTAAAGACAATACTGTTCTATTCCTGATCCCAGAGTGACCGTTGTCTGCACCACTCAAGGCGATTACGTCGGTGTTCTCGAGTTAAAGGGAGGACCCAGTGTGGCCGGTATGAAAACAAGCCAAAACTTCTCATTCGTCGGTAAACACTCCGCATGCCAATAGGTCTTCCGTGTTCTGCAAACCATTCATTTGCAATGGACCTGGTAGTGGAGAAGCGGTCCCTTAAGGCCAATAATCTTAGGCGGCGATCTTCACGGTCTGTTGTTCTACGGCGGCGTCCAGTGCCCCTTGCTCTTTGCGTACGGCCTTCTCGAAGCCATGCCTGACAACACCTAACCACAGTGTCTACACTTCTTTGCACTCTAACTGCAATTGCCCGAAAAGAAAGTCCAGCTTCCCGAAGTCCCACTATACGGCCCCTATCAGACTCACTAAGTTGACGAAATCGTACAGGTCCCCGTACTCTAGGCATCGTAACCGATCGTAAAGGATGTCAAGAGCCAAAATCCGCCAACGTTGATTCTTTACTGCGGCTGAAATATTCATTTTTACAGCGTTAGTGAATTAAAAAAAGCAGTGTAAAAACCAGAATGTCCAACTGATAACAATAAGATAAATATATTCACCAACTTTATTAAAATAAAACCATTTAAACTGGGTGTTCGGATTTATATGTCACTTAGTATAAAAACGGATTCAAGAGATCTTCTTATGATCTAAGATATACTTAATATGTTTGTAGTATTTGTGATCATTAGAAGATCGACAGTTGGAAATATTAATAACCGCAATCAAAGCAAAGGATCTGGGATCAGAGCAGGAACTGACGAGAATTTTAAAAGGATCTTTTGTTGCCAATCTCCATCTTGTTTGATAGATCCATTTGAAGTAAGATTTGAAATTGCGAAAGATTATTGAAACTGCAGATGTTTCTGATCGACTTCTCAGATAGATAGTATATCCAATTTTTTGATTACGAACCCTTATGAAACGGTTTTACGAAAAACCTTACCTCTTTCAAACCCTTATATGTGGGTATGCAGAAAAAGAACGTTATCAAGGAGAATATACAGCCATGCAATTCCATGCAGTTGTCAATGGCTCCTGAAACAAAGTATGAGATATACAAGGTGTAAAATATACTAAGTGACATATAAATCCGAACACCCAGTTTAAATGGTTTTATTTTATTTATGGAGAATGTATTTATCTTACTTAATGAACGTTGGGGATTTTGGTTCTTGACATCCTTTACGATCGGTTACGATGCCTAGAGTACGGAGACCTGTACGATTTCGTCAACTTAGTGAGTTTGATAGGGGGCCGTATAGTGGGACTTCGGGAAGCTGGACTTTCTTTTCGGGCAATTGCAGTTAGAGTGCAAAGAAGTGTAGACACTGTGGTTAGGTGTTGTCAGGCATGGCTTCGAGAAGGCCGTACGCAAAGAGCAAGGGGCACTGGACGCCGCCGTAGAACAACAGACCGTGAAGATCGCCGCCTAAGATTATTGGCCTTAAGGGACCGTTTCTCCACTACCAGGTCCATTGCAAATGAATGGTTTGCAGAACACGGAAGACCTATTGGCATGCGAAGTGTTTACCGACGAACGAGAAGTTTTGGCTTGTTTTCATACCGGCCACACTGGGTCCTCCCTTTAACTCGAGAACACCGACGTAGTCGCCTTGAGTGGTGCAGACAACGGTCACTCTGGGATCAGGAATGGAACAGTATTGTCTTTAGTGACCAGTCTCGATTTTGTTTAGGCATGCACGATGGTCGTGCTAGGGTTAGAAGGCGACGTGGTGAAAGTTTTTTGTTGAAAGACATGTTCATCACACTGTTGGAGTTATGGTTTGGGGTGCTATAGCTTATGGTTCCAGGTCACCTTTAATCTTCATCAGAGGTAACATGAACGCGCAGCGTTATATCCACGAAGTTCTAGAACCCCAGCTTTTACCCTATCTTGACACCCTGGCAGATCCAACTTTCCAACAAGGTAATGCCCGACCACATGTTGCAAGAGTCACTTCTTCCAACATAATGATGTCGCATTGTTACCATGGCCACCAAGATCTCCCGACTTATCCCCAATTGAGCACGTGTGGGTTATGATGGGTAGGAGATTCCTCAATTTGCAACGTCCTCCTCAGATTCTAGAAGCACTTCGAGAGGAGTTGGTGGTTGCCTGGAATGAGATACCACAGGAGGACATTGACCACCTAATCAGAAGCATGCCTAGGCGCGTTGGAGAATGTGTAGCACATCAGGGTGCATCCACACATTATTAAAGGTCAAAGAGCTTTAAAGCAGTGCAATCATTTTGAAATTTTTATCATTTACTTATTATACCTCATTAAGTACTTATACAAAATTTTATTAAAATAAAACCATTTAAACTGGGTGTTCGGATTTATATGTCACTTAGTATATGTAGATCGTCGGAAATTTTGACATCTTAATATCGTTTTTTCTAAAAAAAGGCTTAGATTTTTATTAAAATCCGCCAATTTGTTTTTTAATATTGTACTATAATGTCATTTGCACGAATCCAACGACTCTTCATATGTCAAAATTCATGCCGTTCGGCCTGTAGGAAATAGGAAATAAGACTGCATATATTCTGCTAAACACACTTACAAATAGCTTTTGCAAATAAAAAGTATTTATTCAATATTTTTTTCACTTGTGAATACCACCACCCTTTAACCCTTTTCTCGGATGGCCCTGCGATACTGGGTGTATTTACAAAGTTGACCTCCAAATGACCCGTAGCCTCTTTACCTACTCGATATCATCTTAGACGTCGTCAATAAATTACTTTTCGGATCATCATTCTTGCAAAATAGTTTTCGGAATAAATGATACTCAATAGACTTCGTGCAGCATTACTTACCTCTTCCATAAATGCCATAGAGTAGGCTGGTTAGAGACAGAACTAACTTAACAACTGCATGTAGTTTCGTCAGATTTAGAGCCCTTGTTGTAATATTGTATTTACAATTTTGAAGCACGAGCATATTTCTGGTATCAGATTGACTTCCCGAACCTATGGCACCTTATGCTTACGAACAGTTACGCTATTTATACCGATGCGATTTATATCATATTCTCGGAACACGCATAAGCAGATAGTATAATCAATAATACCTATAATACGTATATGCACTAGTAACTCTGTATGGTCGACGTGTTTTATTTCCACGGTTTATTTGTAATCTTATATTTCTTAGATATTTATCATTATAAAAGAACATTAACCCTTAAATATTCGCATATCATTAAGGAACACCCTATGTGAATGAAATGCAAATATCAAGCATGGTTATGCAGATATGATTTATAGAACTTACAGCAAACATTTTTTTGGTGATGCCCCTCCTCCGTTTTGATTCGGGTACGCTTCTCAAAAATAAATTTCTTTGCGTCTAATTTTTTTGAATTTCTCTCCGCCAAAACGTGCTTCCCCAAATATAGCAGTTCAATCTAAATTAAGCAAAAACGTGGGAATATAAAATTTAACGAAAAATAAAGTGAAAGTTGCCGAGGTCACTTATGACCCCCACGCACTTGGAATATACTCTAGAACATTGATTCCCAAAGTGGTCTATATCGACCTCTATTGGTCTATGACAACCTGCAAGGGGTCTACGTCAGCGAAAAAAAATTTGGGGGTCCATGAAATGAATATGGGGATCTCAACACATACACTGATAGTACCTATTTACTTACATCATACTATCTTATAATATCAAAACATATACATTATTTATAAAAGTACCTATGAAGTAAAAAATGTATTATATATGTTTATAAAATTGAGTAAGTTGTAGGATGTTGGTATTCGCTTCGTGGTCGCAATACATTTTGAACTTGTAAAAACCTGAGAGTCGCAGTCTCAGAGCTTCGCTACCTTGCACTGACTTGTTCAATTCGTCACTCTATAAATACGAATGTAGGACAAATACGTTTATTCGTTTCCTGAATCTTGAAAAGGAAAGTGCTAAGAAATATTTTAAAAAATATAAACAGATAGTCTATCACACAAATTATAGTGAGTCAGTGTTATTTTGTTTGAGAGTGCTGGAGGAAAGTAAGTACATTATTTTTTATTAAATTTTAGTTTTGTACTCGTAGTTAGCAAAGATAGATAAATTACGCCAATCATGACTTTAGTTATTAGTAGTTAAATATTTAATCATGCAAAATTACACGAGTACTCCTCAATAGTTTCTTTTTGAAAGTTTTAGCAATCGGTAATATAATTACAGTGCAATCTCAGTAATTCGAGCTAATTGTTGCAAGACGATGTTCGAATTATGGAATGTTTTCGGAAAAATCAAAATATATTTTTAATACACAGCTGCTGGATTTTCTGTCTTATTTAAATAATTTAATTTTGCCCACAGATGGCTGATGCCATGTCCGAATCTAAAAAGAAATGTAGACAGTACAGTGTTGATTATTTGAAATTTGGCTTCATTCCATCATTGCCGGACAAACAATCGCCTATGTGCCTTTTATGCAACAAAGTTTTGGGCAATGACGCTATGAAACCATCTAAACTGCAAGATCATCGGAGAAGATGCCACCCTGATAAAACAGAGAAAGATTGAAATACTTTCAAACCCTCAAAGATAAATTTTAGAAGAGACCTACACTGGACAGAATGTTCGCTTCGACGTCACAAAGAAATGATGATGGTTTGCGGGCGTCTTACAATATCTCGTTACTTATAGCAAAATCCGGAAAACCGCATACTATAATAATAATAATAATAATAATAATAATAATAATAATAACAAATGGCTTTTATTTTACCTGGCGGGTAACATCAGCACAAGCTGTTTTTCAGATCCAACCAGGGCTAAAAAAAAAAAAAAAATTCAAGTACATGCAAATACAACAAAAATACATTGAAGATAACATTTAAAGCAGAAAAATTTTTTTTTACAGAATCGTAGCATGGTATAATGACCAAAAGACCAAAAGAGAAACGTGCAGCAACATAGTACGTATCAGAATCAAAAACCGTGATTAGAAGTAACTTTAAAAAAGAAAATATTAGGTATATGGCGGAAGATATAAAAATTAAAAGTAAACAGTAACAAATGTGTAAGCAAAACACAAACAAATGAAAAGTGACGAGTGAGAAAACATGAACAAATAAACAAATATAAAAATAAAATTACATAAAAATAGATGCCAGATGAAATCAAAAAAAAAAAATCGGAGAGAAGTTAATTTTGCCAGCCGTTGAAGAGGTTTTAAAAACTGTTTTACACAAACCTGCATCTGATATCATTAAAAGAATTCCCTTAAGCAACCATACTGTTGAAAGACGTATTGATGAAATGAGTTCTGATATTGAAAGCTTCTTATGTAATTATTTGCAAACGACCCATTTCTCTATACAACTGGACGAGTCAACTTTACCTGATAATGCAGCATTATTATTGGCATATGTTCGTTTTATTATGAATCAAGAAATCTACGAAGAACTGCTCTTCGCAAGAACTTTGATAACCGACACTAAAGGTGAATCAATATTTCATGTTTTGAAGGATTACTTCATTGAAAAAGCAATTCCTTTATCCAATAATATAATATCAGTAGCTGCAGATGGAGCACCTGCCATGGTTGGACGTTATCGTGGATTTATAAGCTATTTAAAACAAAATGTGTCAGGGATGTTAGCAATACATTGCGTATCCATCGACAACATTTAGTTGCTAAAATTTGAGTGTTAGATTGCATGAATCACTTCATTTAGTCATTGATGCAGTAAACCGAATCCGAAGCAACGCGTTAAATACACTTTCGTCAATTACTCCTTCACACTGAAGTACGCTGGCTGTCGAAACGCTTATGTTTGACAAGATTTTTTGCACTTTTTGAGACTATTTTAGAATTTCTGAATACTAAAGATAAAATTTTAAAAGAAAATTTAATGAAGAGGAAAACAGACATCGCCTATTTAACAGATTTGTATACAAAATTTAATATGGTTAATTTGCAATTACAAGGCGACAGTTTAAATTTGACTAAAACAAAGTCCATCTTATCAGCGTTCATTGCCAGAGTTAAACTAATGATGCAAAATATTGGACGGGGCGAATTTTTTCAGATCCCCAATTTGTCACAGACAAGCTGCCAGGAAGACGACGTTTCAACTTACGTTCAACATTTAAATGCCCTCTATTCAGATTTTGAATCTAGGTTTGAGGATATTTTGACCATGGTAATACCACCGTGGATAATTAATCCATATGGTGACATAGAAGAAACGAATGTCATAATACAAGAGAAACTGACTGAACTAAGTACAAACGAAGAACTTAAGGTTCAGTTTAAAAACGGATATAAGCAATTCTGGCTGCAAAACAACATACCCGTTACTTATCGCGTATTATGGAATATAGCGAGGACATTTTTAATTTCCTGTCCATCGTCATACCTACTGGAAAGGGGGTTCAGCGCTGTTACTAATCCCTTAACGAAAAAAAGAAACAGACTGGACATCATTAGCCGAGGAGATTTAAGATTAACCCTTACAAAATTGATGCCAAATGTCTATAATTTATTATTAAAGCATCAGGTTCATCCTTCTCGCTAAAAATGTTGACTTATTGCTTATGTTATTTTATTTATAGTTTATTTTATGTTTATTGGTGTCTGACCAATAATGCCCGCATTGGGAATAAGTGCCCGCATTGATTTTTTTAAAGAATCCCCCTTTATAGAAAATATTTTTTTTTAAATTATTCTGAAAATTCAAGGATAGGTACACACTAAAATTCGTTAATTTTTTGCCTATTTTTAGATAACTTAAACGTATAAGAAGCGGAATTTAATCAAACTAACAGTGAAATCATTGTAGAACATACGTTTATAATATAATTAATAAACGAACTCGCTTATTGTACTATTTTAAGTAAAAAACTTTTTTTTAATTATTTTTCACTTTTTTTTATTTTATCCCTCTTATTTTTTTTTCAATGAGGGCACTTATTCCCAATGCGGGCACTTATTGGTCAGACACCTGTTTATTTAATGTTACGTATATTTTACATAACAGATACAAAATTTTATTTTGAGTAGTTTTAATTTAAATTCAATTAATAAATGTATAAATTAACATGTGTTTTTAACACTAAACTTCACTACAGTTAGAAATTTACAGGAAATCAATATCAGGTAAGTAGGAGGTCTACCCAACACGGGAAAACATGGCAAGGGGTCTACGACACAAAAAAGTTTGGGGAACTCTGCTCTAGAAAAAGTACTGGCATTATTTTTTGAACTCCCCTGTATAATCGAGACGACACTTTCATTTTTAATAACTTTTGTCGAATACTAATCTGTGCATGACGAAATGTATCGCATTCATGTCACGTGAGAGGTTATCATTATTCATATTTTCTGACAGCCTTGTTCGCACAAACATAGCCCGACGGCTTCTGCCTTTTCTGCATATCTCACGACGTCACGACGAATTTTTGCTAGTTCATGAGTTGACTGTATAACCGGCTGAGCATGTGGATTTAATGAAGTGTGTTGTATTATCAATTATAGCGGAACCTGCACATAAGTATACGTACAATTTCGAACATCTATCGAGCCGTGTTTACTTAGGCGGCGATCTTCACGGTCTGTTGTTCTACGGCGGCGTCCAGTGCCCCTTGCTCTTTGCGTACGGCCTTCTCGAAGCCATGCCTGACAACACCTACCCACAGTGTCTACACTTCTTTGCACTCTAACTGCAATTGCCCGAAAAGGAAGTCCAGCTTCCCGAAGTCCCACTATACGGCCCCTATCAAACTCACTATGTTGACGAAATCGTACAGGTCTCCGTACTCTAGGCATCGTAATCGATCGTAAAGGGTGTCAAGAACCAAAATCCGCCAACGTTGATTCTTTACTGCGGCTGAAATATTCGTTTTTAGAGCGTTAGTGAATTAAAAAAAAGCAGTATAAAAACCGGAATGTCCAACTGATAAGGCTGAACATTTTTTCACTTGTTATTTATAGTATGATAAATACATTCACCAACTTTTATTAAAATAAAACCATTTAAAACTGGGTGTTCGGATTTATATGTCACTTAGTATAGTTATTAATGTCAGTAGGTTTCTTTAAGTGTAGAGAAATATCG